AATATGCTGATTTGCTGCTCAAGAAACATTTCTTATTATTATCAATCTTGAAAACAGTTGTGCTGCCTAATATTTTGAAACTGTAAAAAGCATCTATGTGAAATAAAAAATTATTTGTAAAATTATTAATGTCTTCTCGGTCACTTAAATGTATCCTTGCTGATTAAAAGTATTAATTTCTTTACAAAAAACAAAACATAGCAAACCCACAAACTTTTGAGCAGTAGTTTATGACGCTACAATGTTTACGATATGCCCCTTTAAAGCATGTGTTACTAATGTTACAGTACAGAGTGTTGTATTATGCTAATGCTATGCACACTATTCACTTGGAGCATGTGTGTGTGTACCAGTCTGTATTTCTGCAGGGTGTTGGCCTCTCGGGTCAGCCAGGCCTCTACTGTGGCTCTCTTGCTGAGCAGGCTGGGCTCTCGTAGCTGTCGGTCTGCTGGAGGCAGCGTGGCCAGACTTGATAACTGAGCTGCACACAACAGAGAGGAGGATTTAGTCCACGAAGACGAGCTTTGCTGACAAAATAATTATTAAAAAGAATCCCATAATTTTGCACGTAAAAGAGCCATCTGGGTATGAAAAAGTGGGTTGTGAATCTAGCCATTCCTTTGTGACAAATGTAGTTTTCTTTCCTGTGCTGATGTATTTTCAATTCCTTTTTATTGCAATTATCTATACGAATAACGTTGATTTATAAATGAATACACCAAGAGATTTATATTCAGGCTTAAAAGAAAAGTTCACCAAAAATGAAAATTCTGTCACCATTTACTCACCCTCGAGTTATTCCAAACATGTATGAAATTCTTTCTTCTGTTTAGCTTCTCTTGAATGTGGGTGAATTTTCAGTTTTAGGTGAACTATCCCTTTAAAACTGGTTTGAAATGTTATTCAGTGGTATTCTCAGGAATTATGTGAGCCTACAGGCTGTTTTAATGAGGGCATTTTTGCTATAGTATGTACTGAATGATGAAATAGACTGTGTATATGATTGCATATGCATACATACGACTGTCCGCTGGTGTGTGCGTGGGGTCAAAGTTAGATTCCCATGAAGTGCATGAACTGATGGAATGTATATCTTGAATGCAAGGTAAGTTGCTTTGAATAAAAGTGTCTGTCAAGTATATAGATGTAAATGAGTGTGGCTGTATACCCTGTATTCTGAGGCTCTCCTGGTACTGTATAATGAAGTACTCCTGGTTGTGCTGTAGTTTTCTGAGGTCATTCTCTGTGTCCTGAGTCAATATTCTGAGCTCCTCGAATGCCTGGTTTATTTGATGGTACTTCTGTGACATGCTGTCCATCAGGCTGCCCACTGGTGAGCTTGACTGCAAATCACAGACACACATGAGTAACAACAAAGTTGCTGTTTACGGTTCAACATTCAGTTTCACTAAAATTACGATCAGAATATATTTCAGAAAAATGCAAGGAAATATGATATAGCTTCATTCATTCTAGTTTTGATAAACTAGCAAGATGAAGAAGGGTTAACGACATACAGTTGTACTACTAAAATCCAACTAACCAAAGCTTCAATATGTAATGTAGGTTCTTATCACCCCTGTCCTGTTGTGTATTAATAATCGACCCAGATAAGGTTATTAATCTATAACACGTGTACTGTATGTTTGTTTAAACAAACTATATGTTTGTTTAGTGCATACATGGTATGTGAACATAAATATTATGTCTTTAAGTACAGGTGTGTCTGAGATGAGTGGGCATTTTCACATGTATGTAAGCTTCTAGATTTACTGATATCGTCTTTAGTTTTATGCGTTGTCAGTTGGAAATCTGAAATTTCCTCTTTTACTCTCATAAAACTGAGCAGGTGAATTTGTGTATGGGGTAAATATTTATCTTCCTCTATGCATGCACAAAGCAAACACACAAACTTTATTTCTGAAGATTGTAAAAGTCAGTCATGTACATAGTCCTGTTTATTACCCATGATGGTTTTTAAATGTGAATGAACTCACTGAACTCGCTGAACTTATGTATACAATGATCATCATTTAAACCAAGAAGACAACATAATCACTAAGTGTTAATAATCACTTAAAGCTGCAGTCCGTAAGTTTTGCCTCTTTGTCGCCATCTCTGTTTGAAACTTGCAATTGCAGTTACTTGCGGAATTATTTTCATTGTGTGGGTTGTGCGCCGGCGCGGCTCCAGCGCGGATGAATCTAATGTTTTGAGGAGTATGTGTGGCAGTCAGTCACCGCACCGGTGTAGATATTTACTGTACTTCGCAATCACAGATTCTCGCCTACGTCTTGGAATATATGAACCAAACAAGAATTTTCACTGGATATTGTCATTAGAACAAGTAAGTAACAAGTCTGCCACGTTTGTTCTGACCAACTGAGGAAAAAAGCATCACAATAAATCGCGCTACCAATGGTGATTAAATCTAACGATCGATTAGCTCATATCACATCAAACCGTGCAAATTATTATTATTGTTAAACTTTATTCTCAAATTATTAATGTTAACAACATTAGCATTATGTGACCATGTGAATATAGTGTGTATTAGCGTGTAGATTTCAATTTCTGTACAGTCTAATCTCTAATTGTCATACCATTCAAATTTCATATTAAAGGGGTCATATGATGCGATTTCAAGTTTTCCTTTCTCTTTGGAGTGTTACAAGCTGATTGTGCATAGATAAGATCCCTGAAGTTGCAAAGACTAAAGTCTCAAAACCAAAGAGATATTCTTTATCAAAGTTAAGACTCTGCCACACCCCACTAAAACGGCTTGTTCTAACACGCCCCCACATATCTAGGTCACTATGTGGGAATATTTGCATAATGTGCCCAAATGTGCACGCAAAGAAAGAAGGAGTGGTTTCAGTAACCGCAGTTAGTGTTGAAGCAGCCATGTCAGGGAGACGCTGTGTGTTTCAATGCGAAAGCAAAAGCACTTTATTTGGCCTTCCGAAAGTAGATGCATTTAGGAATCTTTAAGATTAC